CTGGTCCTGGTCCTGGGCTGGGCTGGGCTGGGCTGGGCTGGAGGCTGCGGCTGCCTCTCCGCTGGCCTCGGTGGCTGAGCCTGCCAGGAAAGTTGCTTTGCTGCACCCAGGCCCTGGATGGCCGTCGCACAGACCCCACGATGACAGCTGGCCGGGACGGAGGTCTGCTTGGGCGCGAGGTGCTGATGCAGGCTAGTCCTAGGTTGGGATGGGGGGCTGAGGTCAACCCCGGGTGGCATCCAGGTGCGGGGGTCCCCATTAGTGGGGGAGGAACTTCCCTGGGAGGAGAGAAGGAAGGTCCCGGGCCTCCTGCACTGACCTCTAGTTCTTTGCTCCCCTTTGCTGTTTTCGGGTGAATTATGGAACGTCTTTGCAGCACCTTTGTTGGTCTGGGTCTGGACGGCAAACTGGGGGGTGGGAGAGGGTTCCCCTTTCTCTTGTCGGTCAGACAGAAAGTCTACCTGGCAGCCAGGCTCTCAGTATTGGTTGGCGGTAGTACTGCTGTGATGACAGGTTTCCAAACTATTGCCAAAGGCTTGTCTCTGTCCCAATAGATCACAGTTAAGCAAAGTCAGGCCCGAAGTGAAGGAAATCTTGTGAGCTCTTGACTTTGCATTCCCAGCCTCTGGTTCCTACTGGCTACCTGGGCCACACGGCCTCAGACTCTTCTGCCACAGTGTCTCCCCTTACCTTACCTCTGTGAGCTAACAGCTGTTTTTCCTCCTGGATGGCTTCTCCCTTTATGGTTAACTCCTCAATCAGATGTTGGGAGGGGCGAGTAGTGTTATGCCATGTAAGTTTTCTATCATTATTGCTGATTTAATTTGTTGGTGCTTCACTGTTCCTTTTTTTTCTTTTCTTTTCTTAAAAACTTGCTTGGGGGGTGGGACACAGTCTGGAAAGTAGGGTTTCTTTAGGTGGTTGGAAATGAATAAAGGTTCATATTAATGCTGAAAGAACTTGACTGAGGATCATTCTTTTCTGTATTATTAGTTTTTAATCCTCCCCCAAGGATATTTTTTCCATTGATTTTTAGAGAGAGTGGAAGGGAGAGGGAGAGACAGAGAGAAACACTGATGTGAGAGAGACACATCGATTGGTTGCCTCCCGCATGCCCCCCACCAGGGCTGAGAGCCTGCAACCCAGGTACATGCCCTTGACCAGAATCCAACCTGAGACCCTTCAGTCCACAGGCCAACACTCTATCCACTGAGCCAAACAACCTATTTTACGTTGCTTTTCATTCCCACTTTCTTCCTTTCCTCCTTTTTATAATTTCCATGGCCTGCCTTGATTTTGAATTTTAATAAAGTATAATTTATTTGATTTTTTTTCTTTTGTTGCTTGTGCTTTCGGTGTCAAATCTAAGAAAGCATTGCCAAATCTAAAGTAATGAAGACTTATATCTATGTTTTCTTCTAAGAGTTTTATAGTTTTAGCTCTTACATTTCAATCTTTAATTCATTTAAAGTTAATTTTTGTATATGATATGAGGTTGGGGTCCAACTTCATCCTTTAGCTTGTTGAAATCCAGTTTTCTAGCACCATTTGTTGAAAAGACTATTTTTCCCCCTTTGAATGGTCTTGGTGCCTCTGCTGAAAATCAATTGACTGTAAATGCGAGAGTATATTTCTGACCTTTAAATTCTGTTCCATTGACCTATATGTCTATCCTTATTCTAGTACCATACTGTCTTGATTACTGTAGCATTGTGGTAGTTTTGAAATTGGGAAGTGTGAGCCTTCCCACTTTGTATTTTTTTCAAGATTATTCTGGCTATTCTGCATCCCCTGAATTTCCATATGAAATTTAGATTCTCCATTTCTACTGTTTGGTTTTGTAACGGATGTAAGGGTTTGGGAGTGGGCAACAGCCTGTGGGGACCAGACTCTTGATTTTCCCATCCCAACCTGCTTTTCCCTTAGCTTCCCCATCTCGTTAATGGCAGCTTCATTCTTCCAGATGCTGAGGCCAAACACCCAGAGTCATCCTGGTTCTCTTCTTTCTCTCATTTCCATATCTAATCCTCCAGCAGATCTCATTGGTTCTACATACTTTGAGAATATATCTAAGATAATCACCGCTCGTTAATGGCAGCTTCATTCTTCCAGATGCTGAGGCTGAACACCCAGGAGTCATCCCTGGTTCTCCTCTTTCTCTCATTTCCATATCTAATCCTTCAGCAGATCTCATTGGTTCTACATACTTTGAGAGTATATCTAGGAAAATCACCATTTCTCACCACTTCCAATGCCACCATGAAGTTCCTGGATCACTGCACAAGCCTCCTACAGGGCCACCCTACTGCCACCCTCACCACTTTACAGTCTATTCTCAACAGAGCAGCTAAAGTCACTCACTCCTCTGCTCAGACTCTCCAGTAGCCTTTTATCTCAGAAGAAAAACAAAGTCTCATCATGGCCTACATGCCCCTTACATGGTATGGGGCTTCATTTTCTTTTTTAAAATATATTTTTATTGATTTCAGAGAGGAAGGGAGAGTGAGGGAGAGATAGAAACACCAATGATGAGAATCATTGATTGACTGCCTCCTGCGCGCCCCCTACTGGGGATCGAGGCCGCAACTTGGGCATGTGCCCTTGACTCGAATCAAAACTGGGACCCTTTAGTCCGTAGGCCAACACGTGAGAGATAGAAACACCAATGATGAGAGAGAATCATTATTTGACTGCCTCCTGCGCGCCTCCTACTGGGGCGCAACTTGGGCATGTGCCCTTGACGAGAATCAAAACTGGGACCCTTTAGTCGGTAGGCCAACACGATATCTACTGAGCCAAAGCAGCGAGGGCTTCATTTTCTATTTCGCTCTCCTTTGCTTACTTTGCTTTAGCCACGCACACCTCAGGAGCTTTGCACTTGAAGTTTCCTTTGCTTGAAATGCTCTTCCTTCAAACGTCTGCATGGTCTTCTCACTCATTTCATTCAGGTCAAAAGCCATTTCTGTATAGAGCCCTTCTTGAACCATCCCATTGAAAATAGCATCCCTCACCCCTCCCATCATTTTCTGCTCCCTTACCTTACCTTATTTTTCTTTAGAATCTCTAATACTGTTCTCTCTCTCTCTCTCTCTCTCTCTCTCTCTCAATATTTGTCTCCCATTGGTAGATTACAAGCTCCATGAAGGTCAGGAATTTCTCTTCTTCACTATGGTATGCACAGCATTTAGAATGGTTCTGGCACATAGTAAGCACTCAAAAATGTATTGAATGACTGAAAAGGGAATGGGAGAATAAGAAATGGTTATCGCTTTGCTATTTCTTCCTATTTTATCTAAGAGAAGCAATGTCCATAGCTACGCTAACACCTCTCTCCTCTTCTACCCTCCTGTTGTCCCCAAGAATGGCTTTACTCTCCTTGAAAGGGAAAGGGCAAGCAAGTAGAAAGATGAGGGCTCTGTTCTTTCCACAGTGGCCGTGGGGAGCCCTCTTCTCTGGAGCCCAGAGAACTTGGGTGGGGCATTCAGTGCTGTCTCCAGTGATTCCATCTCTTATGCTTGTCTAAGGGGGGGAAAGAATTCCTTGGAAATTCAAGAAAAGGGAAATTCATTTCTTGAGGAATCCTTTGTACTGCAATGAATTAATCTTTCTCTGGCATCCACCTGAGATTGCCAACTTGGAAACTCATTTTGACATTTAATTATGAGACTGATCCGCTAACGAGGCACCTGGCATTTAATTAAATGCTTTAGACTGTCAACTGTTTATGTGTATGTCCTTATTTCTGTGACACATTGTAATATCCTGGAGGCCGAGCATGACTTCAGCTCATTTTTTGAGGCTTATACTGCAAGGTATCTTACTAGTAGACTAAAGGAGTGTTCAAGGAACTCTTGCCGAATGTAGACCACACATTTAATTTTTCTTAGCCAGTAGCTCCAAGCAGCTCGTTTTAGTCCAGCTCATCCTGCTACTGCTGATGGAGCAGTACTGGCTGCAGCTGAATGGGCTTTCCTGCTGCTCTTTCCCAGAAAGAATGGAGTTAATTGGCTTGCAGTGTATGGTCATTAATCTTTTACTTTATTTTTAAAATGGAATCTGCCTTCCATTGTGATTTAAACCTATCTTAGAATGTGCCCTATTTATATCTTCCCTGCAGTGTGAAAAAGGATTATTTTTACATATGTGTGATATATATATTTCCCCTAATAAATTATGATAGGTTTGATATCTCCTGAAAAACAAAACAGGGCTTGCATGTTTAAAGTGTGAGCCCCTATTTAACTAGATGGAGGGAATCCTTTCACATTGTGTATATATATATATATCAAATCCCCCACGATGTACTCTTTAAGTAACTTACAATTTTTTTTTTACTTTTCAAAAATAAATTATAATTTCACATGTCAACTATACCTCAATAAAGCTGAAATTTTTTTTAAAAAGCGTGAGCCCCTGAGAAGCAAGATTGGCTTGCCATTGTTCAAACAAGATTGCCTTCTGCGGAGGGTAATTTTCCCGTTCACCGCCTCCCCTCCTGAAGCCCGGTGCTGTATTTGCTTGGGTCATATTTGTTCCTCTGCCTCTTGGTCAGGAAGCTTGAGTTTATGATCTGGTTTCCCTTAAGCTGATTACCTTGGGAGCAGACGGGAGCTCTGAGTTGGAGGAAGAGATAAAGGGGGTGGAATTAACTTTCCGTCCATAGGGTGAGCTGTGTGGAGCAGGGAGCATCCAGCTTGTTTTGGCCTCCTGTCTGCTCATGCAGGACAGAGGGGCACACCACATTCTTTGTCTTGTATCAGTGAGGTCTAACACTCATTGTATTTACTGCCTCGTTTACTCAAGAGGAGTGTTGAAAGTTATTCCTCTTTTCCTGGTGTGTGTGTGTGTGTGTGTGTGTGTGTGTGTGTCTATACATGCTATTCTTGAGAAGGTCTCCCATTGAGTGCCTCAGCCACTCTTAGAACTACCCATATGTATGGAATCAATTTTTAAAATTGAACTTTTAATGTGGGGTCAGAGGTAGGGTGCAAGATTTAGCAAAAAAAAATTGCATTTTGGATAAACAATGAATACTTTATTACTGTAAGTATGTTCCATGCCATATTTGGGACATACTTGTATTTTAAAAGTGTCTGCTTTTATGAAATGCAAATTTAACTGTGTCTTGTATTTAATCTGGTCACCCTAGTCAGGTCTACCCATGTTTATGCACAGGAAA